TTGGCCCCCCCCCCCCCCCCCCCCCCCCCAGGCACTATTTCCAACGGAAGCTTCTGAAACTATTAACGCCTTCACAATCCTCACCACCGCAACATTACCATCTCAAAATAGTCCACAAGCTCATTATGATTGGCGGTGCCGCGCCTTCACTGACGAGGAGAGCAGTGAGCGGATGTCACTTCCAGTGTTGTCAGAACGCAATCCAGTAACTCGGAAATAATAGAATTGCCTGAAAATTTACAGTAATCTGCCTCCCCGTCGAAGCCACAATTTTACTGTACCTTATTTTAATTCATATTTTTAGGGCTCAAAGGTGTGCTCACAATATGTGGGGCTCCTTGCATTGACAAAACTTCGCCATAAAACTTGATCAGAAACACGTGGATCATTCTCCGTCCGGTGAATTGCCTCCGGTCAGTTGCTGTTCCTGGGTCACCTCTGGACGTTCGCCGGACAGCTTTCAAGTTTTCCTCGTGTGTTGGCCGAGACGAGACCGTGAATTCCGTCGAATTTCTTCTCTCGCCGTAGTCCTGACGGAGGCCTGGAAAAAATGCGTCTCAAGTTTGCAGCAAACTTGTCGTTCTTGTTCCAAGAGCAAGGGTCCCTGTTGGAACGCTATGCAGCAGCCAAGGCAGCCGGGTTTCGGGCAGTTGAGTGTGCGTTTCCGTACGAACATTCGGTCGATGAAGTTGTGAAAGCGAAGGATGAAGCTGGAGTTGAGCAAGTCCTCATTAACAGCGTCCCAGGTCTGAATTCCCTCAGGGAGGCGTTGGTTTAACGTTAGGCCTAAAGTAGAGTATGATAGAACTGCCATCGAACTATAAGCTCACGCCTAAATGGCCTTATCAATGACAAAATAAATTCACATGTGATCAAGTTAGGACCAAGGAAGTGCAAGTTACTTTTGGTCTCAAGCTTGCTGATTGACAAATCTTGTCTCCTGCTCATATAGCCTCAGATAGAAGAAACATAAGAAGAAGAAACTGGATGCTTTCATGGACAGACAAAAAGGTGGGGGCAATGTTGACGTTAGGTACTAGACAGTAAGCAAATAGGATAGTCAAAAAACAAAACAAAAATTTAAGAGGGTTAGGCCTACCCTAAAATTAAGGAACGCTCGACCTTGACATGTGATATCGAAATGGGTGAAATCTCGATATCACTAACAATTTTGAATCTTGAAAACATCATGCTTGATTTGATATGGCCTGGCCTAGGCCTACTATTCATATTGATTTACTTATGATGGGGGGAGGGGAGCACAAAAACCTTTTTTCTAATGGATCTGGAACAATACTCTTCATTTAATTGAAACATATTAACTGCTTAGAACCTTAACTCTTTCAATGGATTCTTTTGAGCTTGAAGTTGAGCTATCCTCTCATGATTCTTTTGTGAAGGCAACCTGAGCAAGGATGAATTGGGGACTGCAGCTCTTCCTGGAAGAGAGGATAGCTTTCTCAGTGGCATTGAGACAAGCATAAAGTATGCAAAGGCCCTCAACTGCTCCAGGTGAGTGTAAGCTGACTGTTTTAATGATGAAGAAGCTGAGTCCTTTCATAGCAATGTAAGTAAACATATGTGGCACATGAACTTTGCATAATTTGTTGATTTGGAATTCCTTTGGTGAAATAACAATAAAGTAAATAATCATGACTGGTTGACCAATGACAGTTTCTGGCAGTCCCCTTTACAAAGTCTGGCTCTGCTTGAGACTGCTCATGGAAAATGTGGTATGGAAAGTTTGGGCCTGCTAATGCCAATACCTATTTTATCTGTTGGCCAAGAGTTTGCAAAGGCCAATGTTGGTTGGGTAGTTCACCTGAGCAAAACTTTTATCAGTCTCATATTAATTCAGTCCATCAAATTTTTTACACTTAGCTATTCTTTCTTATGACATGATTTTTTAATGCATGACATGAATGTTTGCATACATCCACATGCACTTAAAAACATAATATGTGCATGCCTACATGTGCCCTCATACAATTATAAATTGGTCTTTTGCCTGACTATGTTTCTCATCACATTTTAGAAAATAGAAGAGGACTTTTATTATAAGTAACTGAACTGTGTTTTCTGTCAAAATTTTGTATTTTTCTATTTGCCATCAGCATGATTTTAATTTTCTTCTACCTTAAAGTGTGAGAATTTCTAATATTTACTTTGCTTTTCAACCTTTTGCCTTTGCAGTATATAAGAAGTAGAAATTCAGTGACCTTGTCTGAAAACTCTCAGCCTCTCCCATTATTTTTGAACTTTCACTGTGGCATTTTGCTCCAAACATCACCAAGGGTCAATCTATCTTCACATCTTCTTGCCCATTTAATGTCTGAGAGGCAAATTTCTCTGTAACTAAGGCATCAGTTTTCATCTATACAAGGTGTCATATTTAAACATAAATAATGATTACTCTGCTGTGTAACTTTTAGGAAATGCCCAATTACACCATAAGGTTAAAAGGAAGTGCCCAACTAAAACCCTGATATGTTCCTGGAGCCATGAAATAAGCTTAAATGAAATTTATGGGCTGGCAAATTGCTCTATTGTGTTTAATTATATACACCCTGTGTAGTGTGATGCTTTCGACTTATTGTCAACAGTAGTATCTTTGTCATCTCCAAACTCTTTGTTCCCTATCTATTGGTTCTTTAGAATATCGCCCTGATCTCCTTCATCCTGTTGGTTGTTTAGGATTCATATCATGGCAGGGAAGGCACCCAGGACATTTTATGATGCTGCCATGAATGACTGCTATCTGGAGAATCTCAAGGCTGCTACAAACCGCTTCTCAGAAGAGAACATCACTGGCCTCATTGAGCCAATCAATCAGGCCAGTGTCTCATACTATTTCCTTCATGAATTTGAGACAGGTAAGTGGGTCATCTGACCATGAGTTTTGCATGCTTCTTGGTGATGTTATTCTCTCTGAATGCAAACTTGTTGAATTCCAGCTCTTGGTGTCATTAAGAAAGTGGATTCTCCCAACTTGAAGTTGCAAGTTGATGTGTTTCACCTGCAAAAAATCTGTGGAAATATCACATCTCATCTCACTGAATGGATGCCCTTGATTGGTGGGTTTATTATTAGTATAGATATTTCTAATGTGAAAGTATTAGGTCTTTGTTTTGTCAGTTTGAGGATTCATCCAAAGTCACTTGGCTCTTTTGAGCTCTGCAGGTGTTTGCATGCGATGAGATGGCTCTCCAGTCGAGGAAGCCCATCCTCACATTCAATCATCTGTTCCCCTCCCAATCAAGCACAAATGAGTTGATTGCTCTCATACATTGAATGACTTGAGATCAACTGCAATGCTCTGGATCAATTTAAAATAGATTGTAACCTACATTGCACCCAATGTTTTTATATCCTTCATTGATCTGATTGCATACTGATGTTTCTTGCAATGTCTTTCATTTTTGAACCCTATATCTTTAATACCGAATAGAAGCAGAGATGTTAGATTCAATGTAATGATCATGGTCATTGGTCATGTTGTTGGTCATGCCAGACTCCTAATTGTGGACATGGAAAGACAGATGTCAGATATCAGAGGCAAAAATGATTAATTATTCTGTAGAATTGTAAGTACCCTGCCTTCCAGCTTTTTTATCAGAAGGAAGAAAGAAACTTTTTCTGGTCTTAGGTGAAATGATATCCACTTTTGTCAGAACCAGTTTAGGAGCCAGCTGATATCAGCCAAATCTAGTGGAATCAATGACCCATCATGTGAATATGACAGGTCTGCAACCTATTTTTAGGTGATAGAAGCACTAACTTCATAGGATGACTTTATAGCACTAACTTGCAGCATGCTTTCCATGAAAATGTGTCTAGTTTAGAAAGATCCTCCTGCATTCCAAATAATGTGTTAGTAATCTTTGCAGAATGACCCTCCAGTTTTGAGGATTGAACTTGCTCTTCTCATGTCTGACTGCAGATCCTGATAATGCAAACTTCAGTACTTTGTGCTACCTTCATTAGCATCAGCTCAAAGGGAACATGCCAATGACCTACTGTTACTGACTTGTAACTGAAATTTAGGGAGTTTTATTCTAGCAAGTGAAAAACATGCTGAAAGTTCCCACTGTTTCATATAATTCTGCTGTTACTTTAGATTTATTTAGTTCAACTTCTGCTCATTACTTCTTCACTTAAGAAATTATAGGTAAATCCAGCTCTTTGTCAAGTTAATTTTGTAAAGAGACTGTTCAACATGACCAGAACTTCTCACTTATTTGCATTATTTCACTGTAAAAAGTAGGCTTCACACTTGTCAAGGGTGCAAAATTTTCAGGTGAAGGTTTCTATAAGGTATCATATGGGGCTATTTTCATACCATATGAAAAAGCTTTCAGCAGTTTCTGCCCTCATAATGTTTGTTGAATCCCTATTTAAATTTGAATTAATGTTTTGAAAAAATATTTTTGACAAAAGTATGGTTTATAATAGTCTTTTTTTAATCCTTGTGCAATAGGCTTTGTTGCTATGTATGATCCCTTCAGTGAATAATGTCTTTCATCATTTTTAGGCCACATTCAGGTTGCCCAGGTTCCAGATCGGCATGAGCCCAATTCTTCCGGAGAGATCAACTTCAGATACTTATTCAATTTGTTGGAGAAACTGGAATATGATGGATGGATTGGATGTGAATACAAGCCATCCACTTCAGACTCTGCTGCATCCCTTTCTTGGGTCGAAGAATATGGCCTTCAGCTGTAGATTCCAAGTTATGTGGAAGTTCCATCCAATATAAGTGTGTGAAACACGATCATTACATTTGGGTGTTGGTATGCTGGTGGTATTTCTGCTGCTTCCAAATGATGCAAGTGGTTTTGGTCAATTATGCTTTACAGTGCAATATGTTGTGATGTTATCAGATTTTTTTGGTATTCTGTTTATGTGGTTTCTGTTGTAAGAAATGATCTGCCTTCACATGTGGTATATATGGTAATATTTTGAATCTCCTTCTGTAGGAGCGTTTTTATATTTTTTTTCTGTGATGCTTATGTGTCACAGTTATATTAACTCTTCCTCCTTGGTCTAGCTTTATTTCCATAGCATTCATGCATATGAGGAACCTTTTTGTATTGAGAGTACTTGTAACTGTGAGTGCAATGTTCATATAGGATATTCAACAGCATTGTAGTCTGGCATTCCAGACTTGTTTTGGCCTACTTCATTTCTGCAACATTTTATTCTTCTCAGCACCAAATGGTTATGGGAATAGTTTGCCAGAAAAGCGCATTATGATCAGAAAGTTGAGGATTACGTGGGGCGTCCAAAAAGTCTTGGAAGTGACCCTGCCACATAGGCAATTATGAATGAAATAATTTTTTTTTTTGCCTTTAGTTATTCAAAATAGTCACCGGCAGCTGCCACATATTTGTTCAAACGGGTCAGCTACGTGTCAAATGCTCCACTGTACTCTTCCTGAGGTATACTTGCCAACTGTGAATGACAGCCTTGGAGAGATCTTGCATGCGAGAAAATGGCTTTCCAGCCAACTCCCTTTTGATTCTAGAAAAAAGCCAGAAATCACAGGGTGCCAGGTCAGGAGAGTAGGGTGGGTGGGCAATGACATGGACTTTCTGCTCCTCCAGGTGCTGTTGTACGGCAGCCGTCTTGTGGCTTGATGCATTGTCATGCAAAAGCTGTGTGCTGGATGTGCCAACTGTGGGTTTCTTTTTGGTGATTGATTTGTAGAGTTCAGGAAGGATGTTGTTCCTGTAGTAATTACCAGTCATTGTCTGCCTCTCAGGTAGAACATCCACCTACAGAGGGCCTTCATAGTCCAAAAACACGGTGAACAGGCGTTTCTTTGACAGGAAATCCTGTCGCAGAATCTTTGGCTGGGGCTCATTTTCAGCCAACCACACCATGTTGTCGGTCATGTTAGGCACTGTGTAGTTGTAGTAGAACCAGCTCTCATCACCTGCAGCAATATCAGTCAAACGTTTGAAACCATTAGGACCGAACAGTTCCAAATTTTCGTGTGAAAACTGCACTCATTTTGCCTTCTGTTCTGCAGTTAGCTGGTGTGAGATCCACTTCACACATATCTTTCTAACATTCAGCTCATTGTGTAAAATGTTTGAAATTCGGCCAGCACTTAGTCCACACTCGTCCACTAATGTTTCAATGGTTAAACTTGGGTTAGCCTGCAAAATGCCTCTGACACGATCTGTGTTTTTCTCGTTCACGGCTGATTTCGGGCGTCCTTCATGTGGCTGATCTTGCAGAGTGTCTCTACCACTACTAAATTCACGTATCCATCGGGCAACTGTGTTGAATGAAGAACATTTGTCCCCGTGCACATGCTATAGACCAGCATGAATCTGGCTTGCACTATCTCTGAGTTTCATCCAGGTGAAAACAGAATCGTTCACTATCTTTGTTAAACTCCATATTTTTAGGCCACAGTCAAAACGGACACTTTTTGCTGAACTAGTACACAGCCTACAATATAGATACAGATACTGTTATTATCTCTAGACAATAGTCAATGTCACTTGTATATGCCACTATCAACAAATCAACCCAGATGCAAACCACTCCTTTCGTACATGCTCACTTCCAAGACTTTTTGAATGCCCCACGTAGCGTTGTGATCATTCGAACGTCTGAGTTCGTCTTTCGATTCTGTGTCGACTCGAAGCTTTCGTCGATTGCTGGTACACTACTGGTTCGAACTTCGCAAAAGCGTTATCGCGCCGTACAGTTATGGCGAACATTACACCTGCATGATTTTGGCATTTCGGCGAAGGAAAAAGATGATGAATTAAATGCCAAATTTGCCAACCCTCATGGCTGGCTGAATCCCCGAATCACCCCGTTGCCAGGCATCCTCTTTCCGTTCTCTCCGTTCCCTCGTTACTCCTCACGCTCACCATCGTTTCAAGCCTTCATCATCTGTGACTGCTCCATCAAAGGAGACTCGTCACCGTTACCCTGCTCGTTTAATTCACCGTCCCCAGAATCCATAGCCAGAATTCACATCGCTCCCGCGTGTCGTTGCAGCAACTGTCCCTGTACATAGCGTGTCTGTGCCACGACTTGGACCATCGAGGGAAAAACAACAAGTTCATGACGGAGTCGGCAACCCCCCTCGCCGCCCTCTATTCCACCTCCACGCTGGAGCATCACCACTTCAACATGACCGTCGCCATTCTGCAGCAGGTTCATTCCCGACCCTTGTTTCGCTTCGTGTTATGACTTTCACTCGAGTGAAAAAAAAAGCTAATGCGAAGATTGCTGCTGATTACGTCAAGCCTTAAGCATCAAGCGAAGGAAATTAAATTCTTCAGGCGGGTTAGCAAGTTTCTGCATCGAGTTTTCGCTTCCCATAGAAGGCCATTCAAAAATCTCTATGATCATTCGCTCGACCGTTTAAAATCAATCACAACTTTTTTTTTATCATGAATATATATTGTGCAGTGGTTTTTTTCGTTGGAAATTCCGTTCAGTCGATCGCTCGAGAACGGCAGGTTTGAGCATCCTTGCTTTGAAGTGTGTTTGTGCATTTAAAGGACGATCTTAAATACGTACATGTAATACGAAAGGCAACGAAGTGAAGCCTCCCCATTCGTGAGATTTCGAGTAATTTCCGCAAAGGGGAATTTCCATGCAAGAATGTAAAAATCCGTCTGAACAATCGCGGCACAGGCCGACCGCCTCCAGCGAACCGCTGACGCCCCGCGCGTTCTCGCCCGCAGGAGGGACACAACATCCTGAAGCACCTGTCGGAGGAGGCGTACAAGCAGGTGCTGGGGAACATCAAGCACTGCATCCTTGCCACCGACTTGGCTCGATTCTTCCCGAACAGGGACAGGCTCAGCGCTGTCGTCGAGAATAAGAGCTTCTCTTGGAGCAACCTTGATCACAGGTGGGCCCAGCCAAATACCGCGATAAATACCCAACCAAATATCGAGATAAATACCCAACCCGAAGCCAAATACGAAATTTCTAAGGCGGAAGAAGGGCTCGTCGCTTGGCTGATCCAAAATCCCGATGAATCGGGAAGCATTTGGAGTCGTTTTAGATTACCGAATCGAAATAACTACCACAAAACAAAAGAGAGAAAGAGAACTTGAACCAATTTCAGCTGCAGGTCGAGAAGAAATCAGTGGAAGTGACTAAGGCCATTGCAGCGCGACGTTAAGGTATTTTCCACGAGAGTCAAACTGGCTTTAACTTTAGGTGCTGCGCCAACGATAATGAGAAATGAGAAACACTCGTCGAAATCGTGAAGATTTTCACCTTTTGTCATCGCTTTTGGCATCGATCACCGTTAGAGCTCATTACGTTGGAGCAGAAAACGAGCCCCCCTTCACCCGGATTATTCACTCGGATAATCAGCGAGATCGGTCGATACGGGGAAAGGGGGGGGGCCTTTTTCGTCACGTTTTGGCCTCTTACCTACTTCATCCGATGGCTTAGGGTAACAAACCATCTTGCACACAAAGATGGAGCTTCTGGGTAGTGTTTGGTGTTGTTTCGTTGATAGTGACAGACTGGAAACACCAGCCGTCTTTTACGTCTAAATTTGAATGATTTTTTACCATTTTCCCCGCTTTTTTTTTACATTTGGCCGTCATCAGAGGTCAAAGCACAAATTTCTCGCAAAGTCTTGAGAGAAAGAACAGCCCAGAATGCAGGATTCTATCGATGGACTCGACCAGGAACGAAAAGTTTGGCCCTAATACTGAAACCCATTTTGTGCGAGAGAAAGGGATTTTTTTTCAAGCCGAGGAACTCTTTTGGTCCATAGTGATCCATAGGGTTTTAAAGGAGCGAGAAGAGAAGAGAAAACGTGGATTCCATGCATGCCTCATATCGACCTGCACTTGTGATTGAACCACGGAAGAGCAGTGAAAAGTTGCATAACGTCCCCGTGGCTCTGAATTCGGGTTCCCAACGCAGAGGGACATGCAAACCCTCTCGTTGTGTTTGGTGTATTTGTTCCTGCACAGAATATCTCGCCGCAACGGCAGTGATGGGCTTTTTTTTTTTCCTTTCCCCCTGCAGACTCCTCGTGGAAGCGATTGCCATGACGGCATGCGACCTGTGTGCAGCATGCAAACACTGGGATGTTCAGTATAAGACATCTCAAGTCATCTTCGAAGAGTTCTACCAACAAGTGAGTCCACGCGAAACGACTTTAATCAGGTGCGAGCTCTGGCATTCATCGATCGGTTGGCGGCCGTGGTTGTCGTTCGTATAGGGCGATGCGGAGAAGGTCGCGGGAAGAACCCCCGCTCCGATGATGGATCGCGATCAACCCGATCAGCAAGCAGCCTGTCAGGTAAGGCATAGCAGGTCTAGTGGGAGGGAATGGGGGGGTATTCCAGCGATGATGGCAGTTTTTGAAAAATGAACAGCTCTCTCTCGTGATTCATGCGGACTTCGATGCAGTTCGCATTTCCCGCCGAGACGCTTACTCTTTCTCGTGCTCATAGAGCCTCGTATATACGCATGGAAGAAGTCTGGAAAAGCAACAGTAACGCCGACTTTGCCATTGCTTGGGTCAGTGTCGAGTGAGCTGATGTTCCCGCCATTCGCGGATGGCGCGAACTGTCTGCCTACGAACCGCAGAACTACGTGCAGACATCCCGAATGGCTAGCCGGCAATCTGGTTGTTCTTTGGGAAGTAGCCGAGCCAAACTACGGCGGGCGCGCGGGACGCATGTCCTCGTTGCGTATGCAAGCCCTCTGGGGGCTCGATGGAAGGACGTTCGGCGGTCGAGCAGGCGAGTCTACTGCGAACCGGTACCATTCAAGCCGATAATGCAGTGCAGAAACCGCTTTCATCTCTCGGCGAGAGATACGGAACGGGAATGAAGAGGCATTACATTTGCGTAAGCTATGCAAACGGGGGGGGGGGGGGGGTATTACGGAAGAGAATGAAGCTCCAAATGTCACAATATCACATCAGCAGCCGGTAAATTGAAATCCGTCCCGGCCGGATGAAAATGTCCTCGAGAGATCCAGTCCTCTTCGCCCCGTTTTGCAGACGATTGAGAAGCAAAACGCTTTCACAGTCGCCTGGAAGCCTAATTTGATCTTTGACCAGCGGATTATTGTCATTTCCTTTTATTTCCTTTCTCTCTTCTTTACATCCTTTAGAATAGTGCTTGGCAAATCTCTCCATGTTTGGAGACTACAATTGTCTAAATTGACTGTAATTAGAAAAATAAATCTCGCTGATGGGACGGCCGCGCAACAACACGAATCGGAGCGTTTCTTTCCCGCTTTCGTTTTTACCTCGAAGCTTCGAATGGGATCGCGTGCACCGAAGCAGATCCCGAGAGGATTTTCCCCGCTCCCGCATTCCGATCGACAAGAATCACGAGATGTGATTTAATCTTTGACCTACACACGGTTGGGGCTAAAGTGCAGACTTTCCACGCGTGATCTTCATGACTGATACCCGTATCTCCCTTAACCTTTAAAAGGGGAGGCAAGGTCAGCTCCCAGTTTCACTATCCCGCCCGGTGTAAGAGGGATACTGATACATGCCCCAGAAGAGCCACTTAAACATTTTTGAGCTCATGGCTTTGATTTAGAAGGAGCAAGCGCACGCGGAATCGCGACTAGTCGTGCTGGAGACTGGGGGTGCCAGGATGAGGAAGAAAAATGATTACGGGGACTGGGAACCGTCTCCAAAATCTCGGGACACGGAAAGTGGCCTCTGGAAAGTCGACCGGATGGACGTTGTCCCCACTGTCCATTCAGTTTACTCGAGTCTTCGTACAAATTGCAGCAACAGCGAAACCGCTCAAAATTAGCTGGAAATGGCATGGCAATGACAAAATTTTACGTTTTCTTTTTCATCTCCAGTGACCCTTGCTTCGTTTTGCCCCATCAGGGAGCATTGCCTTCGTTCTTATTTGTTTGTGGATGAGCCAAGCCACCATTTCATCGAATTCCAGCCACAAAAAAATTAAATTAATATTGGCTCTTCGGGAAAATTGTGCGTTATGCAGTGCAATGAAAAAAATGTAGGTGAAACACGCATTCGAGGAAAGATTCGAGGATCTATTAAATTGGACTAATTTCGAGAAGTTTTTTAAAATAGCAATTCAAGTTTTATCCGATCTAAGTTGACAGCCCTAGTAGTTAGTTGACCAAACACTCTAAACGCTCCGTATATCCTGCATGATTTTTAGATCATGGAACAACCTCATCTGCATAAAACAATCGCTAACGGCATGAAACGTACCGTAATTTCTTCGATGTTTGCATTGGAAACCAGCTTCTCTGGTTTTTCAGCTTGACTTAATGCTCCAATATACAATGCATTTCCATGGGAATTGCAGTCAATTTAAGTTTGTGTGTATTCGCGTCTTTCCTCCTCAGTCCGCAACGGGATTTCGTTGCTTTAAGCTGAGAGACTGGACAGAGAAACGGGTGTAATTTATTCCAATGCGATTTTCAGAAAAATTATTTGCACATTTCATGCCGTCAAGAGTAGCTTTGCACAAAAGAAAAAAACGCCTACGAACTTTGAGATTAAAAATGTCAAATTCGTCTCCCACTTTCTTCTTTCCCTCATTCGTCTGGGTTATTTATTTATTTTTTTTTTAGCGAGATCGCTCATAGTTCTAACGCGATTGTAAATGATGAAATAATCTCTACTAATTTTAGCGCGTCTGCTTCCCTCAGGTGGGCTTCATGAAGGGGATATGCCTTCCTTGCTACAAGTTGCTGTCCAAAGTGATACCTCAGACTAAACCTCTGCTTCAAGGCTGCGAGCAAAACACAGAGCGCTGGATGCAGAAAGCATCCGAGGTCGAGATGCAGCGAAAGGGAAGAATCGGCACTTCTCATTGATCCCCCCGCGTTCGGATGGGAAAAGGATCATTATGAATGACTTTCTACCTCCATCTAGTCATGACACCGGCACGCGCATACTCGTAATTTGTCACATTCTCGCTGGCTTCCATTTTATCCGATCTCCATCCAGCCTTTCCATTGCGTTCCCCAGATTCCATACATGACCCTTGCTCAACTCGATCACAACAGAATCTGCATCTAAATTTCGAAACAAAGTGTGGATGGAGAAAAATGACTGAATGAAAAAGAAGTAGAGGTAGAACCAGGGAGCATTCCATTCCACCTAGGCCTGCAGGACGGTTGGCAGGCTTCATGAAATGGAGAGCAACCTCTCTGCCACCTGCACAGCAGTTTCTTCACCTCTGTGATAGAATACTCCCTGTACCCCAAGTACCTTTGCACAAGCATATTTTCTGGTTTCATCGTGGAATGGAATAAATGGAAGTGAACTATGGGTGCCTGTGTTTTCTTTCTCTTAAAAAAAAAATCCTTGGAGTTATCCAACAGATGGTGCTCATGATGCCAGGGGAGAACAACTTATCGGCAATGAACAAGTGCTTCATGGGCTGCACTCTGGGCATCCCAGTCGTATAGGAAAAGACCTTAAGTTCATCGTCAAGAGAATTTGAAATAAGAAATAGATTCCTCGAGTGGTAGATTCACATGAAAGTGGAGTTCTGAGGAACACATTTTCCTTCTTGGTGCACCTTTTTATTGCAATTTAAAAAGTTTCCTTATAGGTCCTTTTCCTTTGGCATTACGCAATGCCAATGCATTAAAAATAATTTAAAAAGTGGACATTTCCATCCAGGGACTTTATTAAGAATCTAACGGGCATGCAGAATCACATCAGTTCAAGTACCTGTATATATGACACAAAAAAAGTAATTCCCTCCCATGTCAAAGAGGTAAATTCACAGAGGTAAGAATGACAGATACAGTTGCTCATGAGTAGGGAGCAGATTTTTAATCAATAATAAATGCCGAAATATGGACATAAATATACAGAAAAAATGTATTAAAAAAATGCACTCCCTAACTCAGACATAATTACTTGGAAGAGGGTTATTACAGTGTATTTCTCAAATTTTCACTGGGAATGAGGGAAAAAATCTATGCCTGAAAATTGGCAGCCCATCCATCATTTATAAGTTTTTTATTTATTTAGAGAAAGTGGGCAAAATATGACTGAATATGTAGAAAAATCCACAAATAGGCATTTTATAGTATTTTTAAAATGGTAATAAAAATAATAAATTACTTTCTCTTCCTCCTCCATACATAACACCTGGATTGCATGCTCCTACAAAGCTACAAGAAAAACATGCATTTTCATAAAAATCTGCTCCCTACTTATGAGACATTAGGCTTAACGCCTGAACTGTAAAAGTAAAAATGCCACATTAAGTTCTCAGGAATAAGCCTTTTGTTAAAATACAGATGCTTTTGTGCAAAATGTCTTTTGGCATAATGTGCATCACTGAGTTTGAAAGAATAGGAAAAAAAATTGCACACCTGCTTCTCTGAGTCTGCAATATCAGATGACTATAGTCAAGAGTAAAATGTGGGATGCAAATGAAAAAATCAAGCGTATCAACTGGTACTAGCGGTTGTAGACAAGAAAGTCATTCTTTCCAGTGTACTTCCTTGCAAAGATGAGGCCATCAACAGTTGGATCAGAGAATGCAATCTCATCAATGGAGAGGATGTGTGGGTACACAAAATCCAAGCTGAAAGAAAAACCAAGGTATAATAATAAAACAAGAATAGAACTGTGAAATAAAATGAAAAAAAAAAATACTATAATAGAAAAATTGTATATCCACAATGAAGACAAATTTTCAGTACTCATTCACTTGATTCAGATAAATGAAAACTTCAAGTGTGTTCAAAAGTTCAATTGTGACCAAAGATTGTTGTAGACTTTCACTTTTAAAGCAAAACTTCAGTGGGACTGAATAATTTAACCAAGCATTACATTTTTAAATGGACTCTATAAAATAGAAACATGAGAGTAAGAAAAATATGAAATAGAATTTGACAGCTCTGAGTGCAAACGCTCAAAGTTAAAACAGAAATATCCTCACCGCATGGATTCAAGGAGGTTTGAGGCAAACTTGTTCCTCCTGTGAGCAGGTGAAACCCAGATTCGGCTGATTCCACAAATTGCTGCTGTTGGTATCTGAGAGCAACATATGCTACGACTTGTGGCAGTCTGAGCATCTTTTGAGTTCTCAATCTCAGAATCTTCTACCCTGAAGGCAGTCTTTATGGATTCAGCAACCAGACACCCAATGATGCTTCCATCTCTCACGTAAAAGTACACCTGATGGAGAAAAGTGAAAATTAGCAAAAATCATTGCAGATAACAGTATGGCCTTATGAGGATGTCTGCAAGTTGCTTTGGTAGAACCCTGTGCCCAGTACCTTTGTGTTTTTGGGGTTCCTGATTCCAACATGGGAAAAGCCAAGTTCAGCATCCACCAACTCCAACACTGCATCAACTTTCTTCCAACAGTGTGAAGCATCACCTGGATGTATGGCTATCACTTTTCCATCCAAATAGCTGGTCAGGCATCTCTCCTTCTTCCAAGTCTGCAAATGGAGACATTTTCCTCAATAAATGCATTTATGTGTATCTTTTGAATAAGAAAAAACTCAGTTTTTTTCCCAGTAAAAAACTTCAAAGAATCAAGACAAGTGGAACTCCCCACATACATTCACTCCTTTCTAGAAAAAATATCCTTAAAGATGATAGACAATTTTAACTTTCTGATATTACATCCACATTACATTCAACAAAATGAGAAAGCAAGATTATCTCAGCTTTTCATACATTTCCAAACTGCTAGGCTCTCACCTTATACTTCAACTTGGCTACATGCTGACCATGGAATTTGGCATGAGTAAGCTCATCAGCATCATTGGACCCATAGAACATCCCACATGTTTCACATGTCTTTGGTGCCAAAGATCTCTGACCAACATCAATCTGCATTTGGTCTGCATCACCAAGAAGCTTCTTCCTGATATATACCTTTGGACTTGAATCCCTGGAACATAGCACATGTATACCATCAACAATATGAGCTTCAAATAATTTTCTAATTATACTTTTCAAGATCCTCTGCTGCTTTCTCCAGACAGCATTCAAAGTGACCATTAGTATTAAACTTACTGACCAATCATAAATCATGAAATACTTCACCATCCATCTTTCACACACTTTTAAGACAGTATGCTACAACTAAACTAAGCATGAATTGATACAGACCTCTTCTGCCCTGGAGATGAAGGGGTCTTCCCTGCTCTCTTGTAGAATACTGAGAAAAATTTGTGAGATTCTGGACTGGTTGAAGGAGTTGGATTTGATATTTTCAGATGGGGGTCTGGACTCTTGTTCAAGTCTACTTCTGATAGAGCCATGGCTTGTGTATCCACAGTTTTGTCTACTCCATCCATCTCATCAAAATCAAATATGCTGGTGTTTGCCACTGTACTCATAGGCTGGAAAAGTTTCTTTCGAGCATGAGCGGATGAGGAGGTACTTTTTGATGGCTTCACAGGAGAGGGAAGACGACCTGTTGGAGTGACTTTGCTCATGCTGGACTCATGTGACTGATTTAGCAATCGAGCAGCAGAGATGGCTGCAGATTCTGACAGCTTCCTGGGAGAGCGACGTACTGCTGTGGAAGGAGAAGATGTGGATGAGACCTCCATTTTCTTCTTGGGAGTTGGGGTTTTTGAAGCCTCAGCAGATTCCTTTTTTGAACTGTACTCCACCCTAACATAAAATGAGATCAAGATGTTTTGAAGAATGGGTCATTGATTGGTCAGTTTCTATGACATACAGAAATGCTGGCTATGCAACACAGCAATTTTGCTATAGGTCATACATTAGATTACTTACAGCAACCAAAATGAACATGAAAGGCCAGGCTATTCAGAAAATTTTCAATTTTATCTAGCAGAGGTGGAAATAGTTCTCATGCTTCCCAGTTACCATGGTTAATATTTCTAAGTCACTAATATTGCTTCTCCCTGCCTTGTCTTCCCAATTGATTGCTACCTTCCTGGTAACCTGGTTACCAGGTTATAGAACTTTTTCCACCTCTGTTATCCAGTACTCTATCCTTGATTTTGGATAATAAGTATTCAACTACGAAAAACTCTAAAGGGGAGCACTAAAATCAAAACTTCCAAGTACAAAAGATGATTATAGATCTCAGCAGAGCATGGAAAAAAACAAAACAAATCAGGGGGAAGCCTAAGTAAATCATAGCAGCAAGTAGACTTTCCACGGGCAGAGAATAGATTCAGGATCTCTTTCTTGCTCGAATATTAACTTATCTTCAAAACAATCCTATTTTTTCTCGAAAGTCATCATTCGACAATGATATTCAACTTTTCTGATTAATTATGAATCATGTTGATGCTCCAATGTTTTGTAATTAGCTACTAAAAAAGTTCATATGATCACTTTCTTGGTTTTTCTAGCACCCTAATACTTTGCTAACATTATAATGAGTCAACTACATCATGACAAGCATGCCTATTCATATGATAAGGAAACTTTTCTCAACCAGAAAAATATTACCAGCTTCTTCATGAATCTTTAGTGAAATTCTTGGTAAATTTATTTGCCAAACCAGGGAATTGACCAGCACATACAAAATTCCACATATGGCTATGAAACAGTGCTGGTAGGACTGAGTACGGCATTCATACATAGCATTATAGCATATAATAGTAATAATAGAGCTCATTGAGTAACTCACTTGATATTGCCGTTGAATTTCATTGTGGCCTTCCTTGGTGATCTCTTATTTCGCACAAAAAACTTTTTTGGCCTTGTGGGTGTCAGTGGTGTTGCAGATTTCCCTAAACTTGTGGGGAAGGTCATTGAGTAGGACTTCATGGATGGAGTCAATGACTTGGTTTTGTGGGACAACTTGCCAGCTGCCTTTGATTTGTCATCCTGTTTTTCACTCTTTGGATGTAATTTAGGTTTATTCAGCTTGGGACGCTTGACTCCATGCCATACTTGCTTATTGATGTCATCACTTCCTTTACGCTTTCTTGACAGAGCTGCCATCTGACCATGCATGAACTCTTGATAATTATTTCAATACACTCTCTACTTTAGCATGCCTAAAATACTGTAAACTGAAGTTCTATCACATAGAAGAGATCAAGAACTAAAAATGAGTTTGATTTCAAAGCAATTTTTCCTGCATGAAACCTTTCAGGCAGTTTTCACATACACCATACAATCATCACTTAGGAGGTTAGGTCAAAATTCAGCACTTGAAGGGCTAATAAAATTTTCTGCTAAGCTAGAGTAATATATTAGAAACTACAATTGGTGCATGCTGTACTCAAATAATTTACCAGCTTGTCAAAGCAATATACCACCAAATACCAAAGTGATTATGCTTCATACAGGCCATCTGATGTGCACAAATGCAAAGCAAGACCAGAGAAAATTTAGCCAAATTTTTAGTAGGCAGAAGGAAAAAATGTACAAAAACTTTAGTATAAAAAAGTTCTAGGGGCCATATATAGTTAACAGAGGTGTAACAATGTTTTCAAATAAGTTGGATATTCAAATAATCTTGATGATATTGGTAGCAAGCATCAATACAAATTTTCTGTTTTAATCCTCCAAGGATCAGCATACCAAATATTACCAATTGGAATATACTCTATATAACTGGAACTCTGACTCATAAATCTAAGTTTTGCATGAAGCACAATTCTCATAGGCATTGAAGAGGATAAATGAACTTTAAGTTGTCCTTGATATTATACATTTTTTTACAATTGAGACTCTTTATATACAGAGAATAACCAACAGAACCCTTCGGAATATGGATAACTTATTGTTCTATCCTGACTAACAATATTGAAATATGTTACAAAATCCTCATGGGCCAAATTTTTCCAGAAAATTTTGCTAATGTAGTTGCTACTAAAACTATCCTTGAATGGCAGCATAATTTCACTCTTCTTGAATATTGTTCTTGGAACGACATTCCATATCCCAGGTCTTGGTTAGTTGAAATGTTTTCCCTGTTAGGGATGAGTTGGCAATTTTGATTTTTATTCCTGAGTTTTTAGGATTGTCATTGTCCTCTCACCAAAAATTTCGTGATGTTTTTATGGAGCGGAACTTCATTCATCGGCCTTTTCGTTAGGTGAGAATAAAAATGATGCTTGGTCGGTTGGTACGACATTTTCATAGGGCAAAGCTTAAGCCTATGTCAGACTAAGTACTAACGCTAGCTGTTTGGCTCTAGCCTACTGCTCCAGACTTGACTAAAGGCTCTACCTCGCCTCCTTCCGTCAGTCCAGACCATAAAGCATAAATGGGAAAGGACTTATTTCTTTCATTACACCATGGTCCGCGTCGCCTTCGCTCTCGCATCCGCGCCACACGGGTACTGCTTGGCAAGTCGAAGTGATGCCGAATGCTAGACCTACAAGTTGTCTTTCGTTTCTTAAATTAAAAAACCACATGACATGAATGTTCAGAATATTTGACATTTTATTTTGCCAGATAATCGACAGATTTTTCCAGCAGATGAAAGATATTTTGGTAAGGTTTCGACCAGTCAGATAATATTGCACAAAGTTTTTTTCGCGAGCCTAGCAGGAGCAGCTGTATCATGGTTCTTCACGTGGAGTGGCCGGTGGGACCAAGGATTGCTCGACAGTCTTTCTCCTGTAAACTGATTTGAGACCCAAACCTCTTTTAATCGGATTCTTAGCGATCAAGATTTATAAGGTCTGGGATTCGTACCGTTTGAGGTCAAGTCGAAATTAGACTAGAAGTGGGGCCTTAGCGTAAACATGGCAGCATTTGAAGGTGAGTTAGATCTCGTGTTTAGATGTATTGGCCTACTTTCAGGACTGATTAGAAAAATAAATAATTTACTCTTGTTAAGTAAGTCCGTATTTATTTGACGTAGGAGATAATATTGTGCTAAGCTCTGTTTTAGCCTATTGAATATATGAAATGGTACCATTAATGAAAATACAGACAAAGTGAAAATATTGACAGATAGTGCAAGTGTGAAACCAAAAAGCAAGTGCACATCCTTTGCCTTGAGAGCTTGCAAAGATTATGTAACACATAATAACAAATACATTATGTTGATGAAAAAATATTGCAGATATTAAAAAGAGGAAGGTATCGGATTCCATGGTCAATCATAGGATTGTGACAGTTTCCAAAAATACTAAATTACTCTTACTAGAAGTAAATTGAACATGCAAGTGTTGCCATAGACAAGTTGCTGGATACCTACTGATGCTGGGACTTTTAACTTCTTTGCTGCTAGGCCTCTCTTTTGTGCTTGTTGGGACAGTGGCAAACATACTGGTGGGTCACATGGCAGCAAGGGTGTTAACAAAAGATGTATATGCTGCATGGGTGTACATATGCATACATAGATCATCATATTAATGTTTTGAAATTTGAGGATGAGTGATACTGTCGAAGAGGTAGATGCTTCCAATTGGATTTCATACTTCACCTAGTCCTGCTAGTATAAATATTTAATAGGTGTTCTTTGCTCATGGAGACTGAATTTCAAAGTACCTATCTAAGGGTTGGAGCAGTCACTATCCTATCCCAGTCAATCTTTCTTTCAGTCTATTGGTATTCAAAACTCTTAGGATCTTGGGTTTTGATGTTACTTTGAATGTCATTGTATTGAAAAGGTCATTTTTATTACAGACTGTTACTGTCTTGCCCAAACATCAGGCCTGTTGCTAGAGTAACTCGTGAGTCTAGATACATGATGGGCACGACTTCAATTATCCTAATATTTAAATGTTCTCTTATATTCCTTCCAGAGCTTGGTGTGCAACCTGAGGTAGCAAAAGCAGTTGATGAGATGGACTGGATGTAAGTTGATATTCAGTACTATAGAGCCATGATTCTGCACATGTTTCTTGTTTCATATGGACTTAAATGACATTTGAATGATATTCATTTTTTATTAATCTTCTGGCAGCTAGTGAAACTAAACCTTTTATCATCATGATTTGTAATTGCTTGATGTATGTCAGATATTGGTGTTGCTCAATGGTAGTTGATGCTCTCAAACAAGGAATTTCTACTGTTTTTTTCTCCATTCCAGTTTAACACCAACACCTATGAAATCAGTATGCTTACTGTTATGGTGCTTCCTGTAAACATTGATTCTGAAGTCAATTGAAAAGGTGCAGAACCTCATGATAGATGGAAGCCTATTCCTGAAGACCTGTTTGAGAGCTAAGTGATGGTTGACTGCCATTCTCAACTGCATGTCTTGTCATTTTTAGGCTTCCTACAGATGTTCAAGCAGAAGCAATTCCATTAATTTTGGGTGGAGGAGATGTTCTTATGGCTGCTGAAACTGGGAGTGGAAAGACAGGGGCATTTTGCTTGCCTATCATCCAAATTGTCTGGGAAACATTGAGAGATCTCAGAGAAGGGAAGGGAAAACATGGGCCATCTGCTCAACCTGGTATGCATTCGAATTTGGTTATCTGAGGCCATTGAAAGGTCCTCTTCATTTCAGGCTAGAGTATGCAGTCCATTTTTCATAATCCCAAATGATAATCCTTGTTAAATGGATGAATCCCTTCTTCCTAAATTTACTTTCTTCATATATTTAGTTACCCATCATGCAATCAAGTTCCAGATAAACATGAGCTATACCAATTCTTGAAAGGAAGTGGATAGCAACACATTCACAAGAGATTAGACAAAGCTAAGTTGAAAGTTAGGAAGTGACCATGTGTTATTGAAGGTATAAACACTAATTTGGGGGTCTGTTTCCTTGTTTGTCTCCTTTCATTTCCCATCCTGATCAATCACATACAAAATCAGTCTCTACTGCCATGAAGATTTTCATTGGAGCTCCATTTCTTATGTACCAGTAGGACTTGAAGGTAAAGTCAACTCAATGCAAGAGTTGCTTTGATAAAACTGAATGGTGGGAATCATATGCAGTCCTTAAGCTTTTTTACATTTGAAATGGCATTATGACCTAGTAAGTTCCTCATATTTTAACAAACCTTGTCTGCCAAATTTGAGAAAAGTGATATCATACCAATTTTTTCACTTCAGTAGTTTTAGTCATATAATAATTTGTGTTCTACCTTCATTCATTTGTGTTGAACTGTGTCAAGTCTTGAGGTTCCAAAAATTAAAAGTAATGTTTGTTCCATTTATTTGCACAGTTCAGAAGTGGTCGCTGAGCTTCTTTGACAGAGGCTCTGCCATGGCTATAACCCCAGATGGAATGCGCTGCCAGTCAAGAGAGCAAAAAGAATGGCATGGCTGTAGAGCTACCAAGGGTGTTACAGGCAAAGGCAAGTATTACTATGAGGCCCTTGTAGAAGATGAAGGATTATGTCGTGTTGGATGGTCAACATCTCAGGTGAGTCTTAAAATGTCTCATCCAAAAAAAGATATCTAATGTAGACTTGCAATCTAAAGAACTAGATACTTATTGTCTTAGTTATTCTTAGAGACAATATTTTAAACTTCTTGACAGTATGACTTGAAAGTCAATTGTGATCAATTGTACATCTAGGAGTATTATTTCTGGAACTTAAGCCTATGGACTTAGGCCAATGGCCTCACCTTTAATTGAGTGCTTTCTTTCCCTGTCTTATTAATGTCTCTTGTAGAAAAGCATGTTTATACTTATAGTAACGAACATTTATTGCTATCAGTGCAACAATATATGGGCCAATGTGATTATATCAATGAATAATAAGTAAATATATGGTTGATACAAAACATATCTACTTACAGTTGTTAGACCTGAAGCTCTAGGGTATAACTGTCTTTGAATCTTGCATGAAGTGTGATTCTGTGAAATATTTAAAAAGGCTGAATGTCTTTCAGTTGCATTTGAAGCAATCAACTTATTAGTTTGAAAAAATTTGGTGTAGGTATCAGAATCAACATATTAGAACTTTTCAGACCCAGGATATAGACAGAGGCTCTGGATCAGGTAATAGAGAAATTTAGCATGTTTCACCTAAGTTGCCAATTTCATAATGTAGTGCTGCAACCTGCTGGTAAGATGTACTTTTTGCTTTCTTAAACCTACCAGTAAAAAATAAAAATATTCAACAAATTAATAAAAGTCTAGAGAAAGGTTTTTCTCATTCTCTTCATAATTTAAATTATTGTAATCCTCCAGGTGAAGTTAATGATAATTATTAAACAATTTTGCTTATATGTTAAGTTGTTATTGGTCACAGTTCTGCTATTTAGACTAGCTTTAGGGACTAAGATGTGTTGCTACTGTATCTATCCTATTTTCAGTCAAATTTAAAATTTGAAAAAAAAAATGCATGTAAAATGATAGAACTTTGTCAAATTTACTTTCTCCTTTAGGCAGCCTTGGATCTGGGAACTGACAAAAATGGTTTTGGATTTGGTGGTACAGGGAAGAAATCCAATAACAAGAATTTTGACAACTATGGAGAGGCATTTGGGATGCATGATGTGATTGGTTGTCTTTTGGACCTGGATGATATGGAGATTCGATTTTGGAAGAATGGGGCTGATCTAGGGAAGGCCTTCTCTATTCCTTCACAATTGAAGGATGCCACATTCTATCCTGCTGTGGTCTTGAAGGTGAGAGCACCCGATCTGGTTTCAGCTTTTTGTGGGAGATCTTGCATTTAGCATAATCCAAACCTGAAAGGCTTGTGTTGTTGCCAATTAACTCTTATTTTGTTGAGATATCATGGGCTAGGCTACACAAAATTGCTTTCAAAGGATTGGAAGAACTTGTATGCTATCTTCTAAGGACGGAGATCATGCTACCTTCCAGTCTTGCCACTTACATTGTTTCTCCTCTGTGAACTCACTGTTGACATTCTTGTTTTCACTTCCCCATACTCTGATCATGGCACAGTCAAGTGCTTCATCATATTCATGGTATCATCAATATTAGACATGCAATGGTTTTATTTGGTTGTCAGTGTTGGCTGGTATTGGGTGAATCCAATGTATCCTAGGGTGTATGACCTGCCATTAACCAATATAACTGGTGGGATACCCAAAGTATGCCAAGCACTAAGCATGTTCACAAAATGTAAGCTTTTTTTTTCCTTTGGACTGGAAGCAAGAAAATGCTAAAAAAAACAGTAAGATTTGTAGGCAATCAGGTTCCTCTCATGCTTCTCTCAGTGTAGGTGTGAGGATTGTAGTTTCTCTTCATTAACCTAGCCCCCCCATGCCATGCTCATGAACTTCCATTGTCCCTTGATGGCATTCTCTTATTGGAAGGTTAAGATATTATTATATGTGATGGTCATGAAGTTCCTGGAGCATTATTAGTGCTTTTTTTTCCTTTTATTTGAACTCAATGGATATCTTGCATTTTATGATTTCCATTAATCTATAACTACAGTCGCCTAAAAAATTCTCATGATACAAATTACATGTTCAATATCTTTGAAATGGACTTTTATAGCTTTAGAGTGTAGAAATGGATTTTGGAATAAGGTTTTTTTTTTTTTCAAGATTGCATCTCTAATGAATATCTCTGGCTTTTGTTCAGTAAATGAAACGTCTTAAACTTTTTGGGCTAATGGTTTCAGGTAGATGTTCTGTACAATAATTTGCTGCTAGTGGTTGACAGATTCAAACAACACTATGTTGTGGAGCTGTATGTGACAGTGACAACAATGTGCACAAGTGACTGTGCATGTGAATAATATATTGAAGCATGTACATTTTTAGGTATATAAAATATTTATTTAGGAAAATACTGAAAAAATATGAAATGAAGGAAATTTGGTAAAATTCAGACTATTTGAATGTTAGTGATGGTGAAAGTTCTACAAGCTACTGAAAATAGGATATAATTGAGGGTATGCATTCATGTTCATTTGCATCAAAATTTGAATTTTTGGTAGTTCCTGACTACTGTTTCTTATTTGTTGAAGAATGCTGAGATGTTATTCAACTTTGGAGAGCAGCAATTGAAGCATCAACCACCTAATGGGTATGTGGTTGTATGTGAAGCACCAATAGACTGCACTATCAACAATCCTGCGACTGGAACTGGTCAAACTGGACCCAGCCAAACTAAAATCAAGAATGCACCTCAAGCCATCATCATTGAAGTGAGTTCAGTTACACAGTGAGCTTTTAGGGTCATGTTTTCCCATTATTTAGCACTCACAAGATTGATTGAGTTGAGATCCTTTTGCTTATTCAAGGAACTGACTGGTCTTTCCTCTCCATTTACCAAACCAGTTAGCAGCTACTGCCTTATGCTGGCCTTAGATGTGAAGTAGTGCAAGTGCCTTGCAGGAGTGTAACTTCTCCACCCACAGGGGATGAGGGGAAAGATCAAAAGGAAATCATGTGCTTGGTCACTATCTCTCTCTCCCTTCCCTCCCCTTCTTTATTTTAGCATCTCTCTTATCAGTCCCCTTTTATTGTATTTTTTGTCTCACTCCCTTTGTTATCCTCTTGAGGAGTCTTTGGTCACTTCCTGTTTTAATTTTCTGTCTAATGTCATCTTCCTTAACCACTTACCAGTTCTTTTTGTTGCAGGGAATTGAACCAAAAATGTCAATTTTTTAATTGTATATTTTGATTCTATAGACTTTGTTTGAACAAAATATGTATGTGTAATATATATTTTATTCATTTATTTGGGCAAATCAAGAACGAAACAACAAAACACAAGTTGCCTGTGTCTCATGTGGGCAAGTCAGTTTTGGGAAGGACAACATTGCCTGCAACAGAGATGGGCGAATCATAGAAGTGGTTAGGGACTCTTTCAGAAAGAGAATATTCTCCATCCTGCATGCCTCCCAGCTCCCAACATAAATGTTTTATGCATAGAGCAAGAGACCAGAGGGAAAACTTTTTTCTCTTCTTTGAGGCCTCTCTGAAAGGAATTTTCCTCCTCCCTGGGAGGTTTCCCTGGATTTCTAGCCAAGCACTAGTAAACTGCATGTAATGTGCACAAGAGAGAAAACTGTAAAAGCAGGTTTTATGTGTGTATTATTAGAGGTGGTACTTTGCAAAACTTTTGGAGTGCCTCTCATGGTTTCCATTAATTATGTGATAATGAATGATTGAAAATTGTGACCTTCGAGGACTCATGAACCTGAATGCAAAACCTAACTGCTGCTTGAAGAGTCATACCTGGTACAAAGTCTACTATTGCTACAGAAGTTATTGAGGTTTACCATGTCTTGCCATATATGTATTGTGCATTCAGCATCTCTTGGATCATAAGACTGATCTAATTTTGTGGACAAGTCTGCCATGAAGTCCTCTCATATTTGACAAAACTGAACATCTGTATCATTGTATTGCATGTCATAACTATTTGTGCTTTTCTTCCTTGACTTATATCACTTCCTGTGAAAAGAAGAGACATCACACCTTTAAATATTTATTTTTGAAGCAAATATTCTTTACTTTCATTTCAGTACAAATGTGAGATGAATAAATTGTTGAAGTGAGGAATAGGTGCATTGTATAAAAGAACTAAGTTTTAAGGAGTTAGATTATCATGGAGAGGTGTGTAGAACTCCCTTTTTGAGATTCTTGATAGTTTCCTCCATAGAGTCAGCTGATGAAAGATGGAACATGGGACTCTTGAGTACGAACCACATCCATGATTCATGTTTGAAGGAACATGTCAATTCCATTTCAGCCATCTCGTGAATTGGCCGAGCAGACACACAACCAAATGAGGCTCTTCAAAAAGTTTGTGGATAACCCTACACCAAAAGAACTACTAGTCATTGGTGGAGTGAGTGTCAAGGAGCAAATTTCTGCCCTTCAGGCTGGAGTAAGTTTCATGAACCTATAACAACTTTCAAGAGATGGGGCATTGATTTGCCAGCATGCAGTATCACCATCCCATGTCTTTGTAGGTTGATATTGTTGTTGGAACTCCAGGAAGACTAGAAGACTTGATGTCATCTGGGCATCTATCCTTGACTCAGTGTCGTTTCTTTGTCTTGGATGAAGCCGATGGTCTTCTTCAACAAGGCTATGGGGACCTAATCAATCGTGTGCATTCACAAATTCCAAAAATTACTTCAGATGGGAAAAGGCTTCAGATGATCGTTTGTTCTGCCACACTGCATTCTTTTGATGTGAAGAAAATGGCTGTAAGTGGATCTTTTACCAATCTGTTCCTATTTTTTTTATTAGTAATAGTACAATTTGTTATGTTCCTAGTAACCATAACCTAAGAGGACTTGAGTCTACTTAATCTTTTGGTTCATAGCTATCATACTTGAGCAAATATGTGTATATTTTGAGGATTCCTGTAATTTATGGTGAAGGAAAGACCATCTGTCGAATAATGGATGTAAATTCAAAATAAAGGGACACCTGTTGTGATAAAGTAAAAAGGGACATGTTTTGAAATGAACCCAATTGTAGGATGCTCTGTATATCAAGATAAACTGTAACTATTATTACTGCCTAATGGTGCATTCTGGGGAAACTGATGCACTGGGAGTCTTTCATGGTATCCCTGATACACTAGTAATTATAAAAATCAAGACCGAGAGGCTCCATACCATGTTGACAGGAGAGTATAAAAGACAGGAAACTGAAGTTTCATGTCAGTCATGATCACTTTTCATAAGTTTGTCATTCAGTCTTGGAAACAGAAAATAGCATGAACTTCATTGCATTTTGTGTGACACAAACACCCTCCCATCTCTTGCAATTACTATGGGGAAAGTGCACTAGGAACTAGAAACTGCTCTGACCCCAGGGTGAAGAGGAAGAAGCATGGCTGTTGCTGCTTAGACCCACAGGAAGGGGAGAAGAGCTGCTACAATTGTCTTTTCTGTGTATACATTAATGCATGTCACAGTATGCTCTACTGATCTTTAGGGCTGGGCCAACATCTAAGTATACTCTTGACCACTAATTGTCTGAATTTATTAAATGTACGTACATAAAATGGTTTAAAGTAAATTTAAAATTTTCTGTTTTACAGCAGATTCAACAGTAATATTCTGTAAACAAGCATGAAATCTGATGCCAGAATAAAAGATTTTGGCTTTTACATTCAAGGATGCATGATGTTTTGGTTCTACATACATGGCATTGCATATGCTCCAGTGTATGGAAATATGTAAAGCCTCTGAATTCTCAGTTTCACAAGCAGAAGCAGTTTCACAAAGATGTTCTCTTAATAGCCATAGTTCTTTAAAAAATAATAATTCTGTTAATGCTTGAAAAAGAGAAGGCTGCCTAAAATGTTTCATCATCCAGGAGTTGTTGCCAAGTAGAAGAGATAATATGAATACACTGAGAAGCCTCCAATTGATTATGCTCCACAGTCCATCCCACAGTAATGTCTGGTCAGAAATAAATAAAAGTTGTGCAAGTAAATTTCACAACTCATCAAAACCATGCACATGTTATTGCCTTGCATAAGGCAAATGGACAGTCAACCAAGTGTTGATACTGCTGCTGAAGAACAAGAAGCAACAAGAACTACTGTATTGTGGAAGAAAGAGGTGTTGCTTGAATAGCTTGAATTGTATCTATTTACATATGACCAGGCAGTGTATATTGTCAGCAATGCATGTGATCTCTCTAGTCAAAACTTGCCTGTCCTGTCTAAAAGGAGAATCGATCTCATGTACTTGAAACAATTTTGTGTTCATATGTTCACTCAAGTTTCCTTAGCTCACTTTTGCACTCTGAGGACAGGAATGAGTGATATTAATATTTTTTAAATATAGGTAGTATATTCCCCAAAATTGTAAAGATTGTTGTCTACCATGTAAAAAGCTGGCTAAAAAAATTTTTAACAGGAGCGACTGATGCATTTCCCAACATGGGTGGATCTGAAAGGAGAGGATGCTGTTCCAGAGACAGTGCATCATATTGTTGTTACTGTGGATCCCAGAGAAGACAAGTCCTGGACCAATCTTAAGAGGCATATCCAAACTGATGATGTCCATGTCAATGATAATGTTCGGCCAGGAAGCAATAATCCTGGTGAGAAAACATCCTTCTTCCAGGTATTCAGGTGGTACCATAGGTGGAGCCCTGGGTCCATTTCATCTGAGTCTTCATGCTATGCTTCACAGAAATCTGTTCCTGTTTCCTTAAGGTTGATATAATTTGTGTAATAAAGAATTGAGCTTAATGGCATCCTGTTGTGGATATGGGGTTAGTGGTTCCTTTTTCAGAGCATGTACTATTTCTCTTTTTATTTTCTAAATCAGCTTTTTTAGCTTTCTGATTCTCTTATTATATTTTTATATTTCTATCTTTTACTCTCTCCCTCATTCTTCCCAGTCTTGCTTCTCCTTGAAAGTGGAACTAGATCTACAGGTCAGAGGTCTGGAATTCTGATTCACCTGCATTTACATGACAATCAGAGGCATATTGAACCCCCCTGCATCCATCATAGGTGAAGCTAGAGGTCCTGGTATTCCATATCAGTGGATTTCTTTTGTACCCTTTCTTGCCTGATCTCCCTGTCCTTGTAAGCATTATTTTCAATTTCCTCTCAGTCCACATGCTGTGCAAGACTACTAGCCAGGTCTGTCTTGTACTTCAGTCTCAATGAATGCTAACTGGAATATTGATCCAATTATATTGAGAAGAATCTTTCCCCCTCACCAAGACCATCAGGAAAATCTACTTAAAAAAATAAGTGCCTTATATAAATGTAGAGTTAGTCACTCTACCAGGAATTTGAGCAAAGTAGACCAAGAATCCTTTGTGTGGAATCAAGAATCATGTAGCTACCCATCAACTGATAATCTATCTTTGCAGAGACATTATCTGAAGCTGTGAAGATGCTGAAAGGTGAATATTGTGTTAGAGCCATCAATGAACACAAGATGGACCGTGCTCTTATTTTCTGCCGAACAAAGCTTGATTGTGATAACTTAGAAAGGTATCTCATCAGTGTTGGTGAGTTAGATACCCCCTTCACTTCCATGGGTATAACAGAACAGCTGATGAGTGGTGTTGCCCTGCAAAACTGGAATTGATTTTTGTAGGTGGAGGTAGAGGACCCAAGAACCCATATTCTTGTGTCTGTCTCCATGGTGACAGGAAGCCACCAGAACGCAAGGCCAACTTGGAGAAGTTCAAGCACCAGGAAGTTCGCTTCCTTATCTGCACTGATGTTGCTGCCAGAGGCTTGGATATTGGTGGACTACCTTTCAGTTAGTTCACTTCTCCGATGCTTTGAATTTAAGAATTTTCCAATGTGTTTGCATGATGTGCACTATTTTCAAACATATATGATTTGATTAGGAGATTGTGATGGATGCTTAAAAAATTATGCACAGTTACGTTAAAATTTCTGTTTAGACAATATTCTTCCTGGAAATACATGCATTTGATGAAGGTCCGTTAAAACAAAGGTAGAATTACTATCTGTGGATAAGCAACTCCTAAATTCCTGCATGTTGGATTATTTTTTCTGCAAAAATTTCCATGGCAAAGTATATATTTTCTCCATGAAATGTCAATATGATCTCAAAAATAATCAAAGCTAAACAGGGATTTTACTTTGATTTTGTTGTACCTTCATCATGGCTTAATGTATTCTGCAAGCCATACCTTTATTTTTTACATGGAATAGTCATGGCAAGACCAAATGAAAATTCAATCACTACACATGTCTTGGACTGTGATTTTGCAGTAGCTGCATGATTTTTCTTGTAGTGATCAACATGACACTACCAGACGAGAAGAGCAACTATGTGCATCGCATTGGCCGAGTTGGTAGAGCAGAGCGAATGGGCCTGGCTATCTCCATTGTTTCTGCTGTTCCTGAAAAGGTATGGTACCATGGAGAATGGTGTCCCTCACGTGGCCGAAACTGTTCCAACACCAACCTCACTACAGAAGGTGGCTGCTGCATGTGGTACAATGAGCCACAGGTGAGTCTTCCTGAAGTGTGCTGAGTCTTGGGTCATGCCTGAAGCTTTAGCCAAAGCACAAAGGGTTAGAGCAAAGTTAGGGGTCTTCAGAAATTGTATAATATATGAGTATTAATACTTTTTGGTGTTTGGACCCTTCTGGATCCAAAGATCTAATGTTTTTTTGTTTTTTTTTCAAACAGATTATTTCAGTGCCAGTTTTGGAATGGCCTGATTAGTGAAAAGGATTTGAATGGCATTATACATATAGATTAAATAAGAAGATAAATAATTTTGAAGGAAATATTTCTAGGTTGTCTTTTTAGACAGACTCTGAGTAGTCTGCATACCCCTTCCATACCTTTCATGTAGCTTCTACATTCATGCATTGTGCATTGTTCTCTTTGTGCTTTGAATGTAGTAGCTAAGTTTCACACACTGTCAATATCTTAGCATGAGCATTTTTAACTGTGTGGATGAGGTCCACAATCCTTTTAGGAAAAATGAAATTCCTTCTCAATAAATTGGAAAGAAATTCAATTTCTATGGTTGGAACAAATCATGTTATACTGCTGTTGACTCTCTCAACACTGGATGCTTTATGCAATGCAAAAGTTACCAATTACTGGACAGTTTAAGATTTCTGGTATGATCAGAGACCTGTTATTAACCCTTTAAGACCCTGTGCCTGCAAATATGAACAAAAGCTCAATGGCTTTATTTCATATTTATAGTCTTTAAAGACTTATCTATGATATCAAACTATGATAGAAAAATATGATATCAAACTTTGTAACTTGTCCAATTTTGCTCATGTGGTATCTCAAGGCAATAAGGGTTCACAGGTCAATATATTTTTTGCCCACTTTAGCCCTCACCCACCCATGCAAGCCCCACCTCTTTCTTGAACTTGGAAAGTGAAAGACGACAGTAACAGTAATTCTGAATCTTTCATGGTTTTCCTGTAGTATTTGGCTGACATTGAAGAACATCTTGGAGTCACAATTCAACAAGTTGACCCTGATTTCAAGGTCCCTATGGATGAATTTGATGGGAAGGTTGTGTATGGCCAGAAGCGTTCTCAAACAGGTAAGATTGTTCACTCCCTCATTTCCTTAGAGGTTTCCCACTTTGATACTCTTCTGTTGGAGAAAAGTAGGACACACTTATGAATGGGCTGTATATAGAGAGCAGTTTCATCATATGTCTTTCTAGTAGTGGTTACTGAACCATATTGCATCATGAGTGATTTGATGCCTTTACTTTCTAGGGACAAATTACCAAACACATGTGGCTCAAATGGCACCTACTGTTCAGGAACTGGCCAGCCTGGAGTCACAGGCTCAACTCATCTACTTAAAGAGGCATTATTTGAAGGACAACCCATGGAACAAGGGTTGAAGCTGCCTTCCCCCTAGTTCCTTAAGACTTCCTTCCAGAGTGGTTTCATTCTGAATAAAGGAGTGAAGACCCCCTCATAGGAACTCATAGCCAGCAAGACTGTTTTCGTATTGGAGACAGTGTGTGTGCCTGTTGCCTTGGCACAGAATTCTTTGCCTATGTAATTGGGGGATTCCTGTGTGATCAGGGTTGAAGAAATTAACTATCTGCATTGTTGTGTGATATTGGTTTGTGTAATGAAGATCATGTTGGGAACTATTGGAGCATTCTTTATTCTCGTGTTATGCATTGGAGGGAGTCTGGTGTTTCTCTCCTCTTGACATGTATACCCCATTAGGGGTTTTGGTTGGTCCATGTGTAACTATAGTCCAAACCTTGTTTAGACTATCGCCTGAACAGGGGATTTTTAAGGAAGGCTGCCTTTCTTCAGGTCTTTCGGATATCCAAGGTTTTACATTTATAAAGGACAAGCGCTAGCCGTCTGATGTGCGGAAATGTGAAAATCATCCAGGCCACCAACGGATTTCTGAAATAGGTCTAGGCCAAGCATCTCAATGTAGTTGTTTAATCCGTACAGAGATGACGCCAGTGCATTTTCATCTCAGATTGACCATAGGATCAAATGTCAACATTTTTACAACGTGAAAAGAAATTCTAACAAAGGATTTCAAGGGCTTTCGAATGGTGTGTCAGGCTAGAAATTGCGTCCAAAATTAATACGAAAGGTCATCCGGGTCAGGTCAAAGGTCAACTCCAAAAAAAATATATATAAAATGAGTTAGACCATCGACAGGAAATTGCAAATCGAATGAGGTGTCGATTGTGGAAATCGGTTGAGAAACCTAGGACAAAATCCGGTCATACAGACATCAGCCGGGATACCCGAAGGGTTTCCCACTTCATTTTGTAAATTGGGTATGGGACAACGGGGGTCACTTGGGTCGTCAAACGTGGACGATGGTACTGAAAGTACGAGGAGACGCCAGTTTCTCATGCCTTATTGTCGAGAGAGATTGCCCCTTTGGGAGAGTTCGTAGTGGTCGATAAGGAATCACTCGAGCCCGAGTGCTGAAACCTTTAGTTAACGGTCCTTAAAGAATTCATGGACTCTTATGGGGGGAAAAAAATAGCTTTTTAGCTTAAAGGCCCATTCATCTCCCCTCTAAATGAGGTTTGTGCATTCGGGCCAAAGCCTCTGGCAAAGGCTTCTATGCAGACCGGTTTTTTTTTTTCACAGATTCTGTTTATTCTCATCGACTGTATACACAACCGGTGCTCTATGAAGCACGGAGTGAGGCAAAAAGAGAGGAAATTATTTCCGCTCGATATAGCACGTGTCACAGCTTTAGGCTCTCGAGCTAACAAGCATGAGATGTGAGCTAATCAGAGGAAAGAAGGCGAAGCGTTAGCTTACCCTCGATTCGCTCTTCCCTCGTGATTGCCCTGCAATTCCCTCAGCCAAGGAAACGAAATCGCAAGGCGTTCTTAGTGTCATTCGACCGCGCTCAAAAGTCTTTCCAATTAGCCGGTCCCTAACCAACAAGGGACGATCCGAGGCCGACCAGATCCACCCGAGTGGAAATAAAATGGTACAGATACACGGAATCGGGTACGGGTACTATTGCGGTACTTGGCAGAGAAACACCCATATTTCTCTTCTTTTCCCGAGCGTAAATTTATCGAGGGTTTTCCTGGTAGGTCCCCTTGACGGGCAAACTCGGACAGTGACCGGTTCTAACGATTTCACGACCTTTACGTTACCAAAAGCGGTAAGGAACGGAACGTGACCTACATTCCGCCTTGACAGCGCGAAAGTGGAATAGCAATCGATCAGCAGCAGCTGACCCATTCGTCCTCCCGTGCCACCGCATTCGAGATAAGCAGAGAACATGGAAGGCATTGAAAAGAACATCCCCGTGTAACCCCCTTCCCCCCCCCCCCCCCCTCTTCCGCAGTAAAACCTGGCCTAATTAGCGGATGGTATTCAGTCACTGGAGTGCTGCGATGGAACCCCGAGACTTTACCATGAGAGGTCTGCTCTCGTGTTTCCTCACTGCAACCCCATGGACGTTGGACCCCCTCCTAATGGTGTAACAGTAAAGACGGATCGGTACAGTGGGACACAAGAAAGGTCTTAGCTGCTTTTCCTCTTTTTCTCTTCCGAATTGCGAGGTAATCCGTTTCTCAAGCCTACAGGAATGGAAAAATCCGGAAAATAACTCGTATGTTGCCACGAGATCGATCGTGAAACACCGAGTGAGGGAAGAATTTCCCTCTTGTGTATTATAAGTCGTTAGGTAATCCGATCCCTGAAAAATTTTCAGGTTCCTCTAAGAGCCAAAATTTCAGGCGATCTTCTCACAACTTTTTCTCTTCAATTCTTCGCTTAGATGTTCGGTTCGTACCCGTTCTGCCCCCTCTCATCCTACCTACGCCACCTTCGCTTCCACATCCGCTTAATCCGCATAAATCCGCCTAATCCGCTTAACTTCCCCCGGACTATCTGCCTCGAAACCGGATCGTCTCAGCCAGCCTGATAATTACGCTTATCAGGGTGTGAGGGATCTTGGATTCAAAACTCGGAGAAGCGAATCCCAATTTCGAAAGCGTTACAAAAATCTCAAGTAAATTTTTCGACTGAAAAGAATCTCGCTTAACCCAAGACTAGAAGAAAAAAAAATTCCTTCGAGGATCTAATTCTTAGTTTTCATTAACCCAAGGAAGCACGGCGAGAAAAAGACCTCCAAGTGAGTTCAAGATTTCCCTTCACCGTGCAGGCGATGATGAAAGGAAATCATGCATATCAAACGTACGAGTGTTTTTGGATGTAACGTTACGTTACAAATTCATCATAGAACGGTACTCGGCTGGTATTCCCTGGTACTCGGCTTAATTAACCAGCCGACCCGATTTCATTATGGAATTCGGCACATCGGGAAAACACGTAGATAGGCATGGCCTCAAAAACTACTCTAGATTCCTCGGTCGCGATAGCGACTCCAAAGGCATCCGACCGAGCAGCGAGAGAAGATAAAAGAGGAACCGACATTAATCCCCTGGGATCCCGCTGGATCCCACTGGATCCCTCCCGACTGGATCCCTCCCGACTGGATCTCTCCCTAGAGCCATCCACTCCATCTCTCTTCCGTTTTCCCATTCGCGCGTCGCCATCCCCCCGCGGCTTGCGAATTCCCCGCGGTGATCGCTCTCCGCGGTCTCGGACCGTCGCTGCGACGCGACGGCCCCCGCCTCGCACATCGGAATAGACGCGGATCCGTCGCTCGATTCTCCGACGTCAAGCGGAGTGTTCCTCGTACTCGACGGCCTCAATAAAGAAAGTCGGATCGATGTAGCGTTCAGAAATTCCGAAAAGGAAATCCGCAATTTAAAAATAAATGCGTAAAACTGGCTCTCCCCCTCTTGTATGGATATAGCATCTACGATCACGGCGAATTCTACATCGCCGGAAAACTGTCCTCGTCTCCTTCGGTTCAGTTTACAATACCTTACGATCGAAGACTCCGTCTCGCCCGCTGCAAATCCGCCGCTCGGTCGCTTTAATTTGTATTTTTTATTAGCTACACCGTCCACCCCCAGCCGATTGTTGAACCGGAATGATCTCGGCGAGAAGGCCTGAGGCCTTTTTCGACTGGAGCCGCGAGAACCCAACGTCGATCGTGGGGTCTTCTTACGGCCCGAGCCGCACAATTTTCGCCGGTTTTATCCGTTACGGGAGGCGAAGTCACCATTCACCCTCTCGACGTTTTTCAGGAATGACGTCATTGGAACCTTCCCTCGAATTTTCGTTACGTCTGTTGCGACGCGAAGTGCAAGGCTTTCACGCAGCTCCCCGAGTCCGAGCAGAGAGGGCACGCGCCCGCTCGGCGACTGATGCCGGCCTGCGACTACGTTCACGCGCCGGCTCGGCGACGAGTGCCGGAGAGCCGTCCGCACGAAAGCGGGCACGACCGAGACGTGCCGTTAGTGCCCGGTTCACCGCGGGCACACGCGAGTTTGCTTACCGTGCTGTTTCTCGGCCTAACACGAGCGACTCGATGGATCGGACCGACAAAGAAGGGGTGCCGTAATTTGAACCAGGAAAGACGTCAGCAATACATGATGCCGCGATGAACTTCGCTCGGTCCACCTCGGACGCTTATCATATCCCGACTGGCACCAGCAAATCGAGAAGTAAACGTACGTTCACTCGATAGGAGAGATAAGTCGACTCGACGGACTTTATGTTCACCGATAGCCGCAAGGCTCCGTTCCCCTATCAGTAACGTGGGTTTCCATTTCTGCTGGGCTGGGTGAATGTCTCGTCTGCCTTTTCTTCCCGATTGCATATTAATTCCTCGAGAACCAAATCGATACGTTCTCACAGTCCATTTTAAGTACTCGTGTCGCTTTTGGTCCCATCGCGTCCACTCGGTGGGTTCGTGGAATCCCCCGGCGTTCTCTAATTACGAGTCCACCGCTTCTCATTCGCACAACCCACCCCGCCCCCCCCCCCCCCCCCCGCCCCCGCCCCAGTATTTCTCTCTGACCTCGAGTCGGAGCATCGAACGGGACGAACCCGCGAGAACAAAGGACGGAATGGGATCCGAGGCGCAGAGAACAATGCAGCTCGGATCGTGCGTTGGATGACGAGAGGATCCGAAGCGACAGATACGGATTCTATAGAAAACCGAAACGGTGCCGAGTCGGATTCGTATCGGACAGAAGAATGTCTGCTTTTTTTGGAGGTCGACACACTTCCTCGGACGTTCAACCGCCTGGCCCGACGAGAGGAAAAACCCGAAAGACGCGAATGCGCGGGAAAAGCACCCGACGAACGCCCGACAGTGATGCGCGAAGCAGTGATGCGCGAAGCAGTGATGCCACTTCACCGAGTTCTCACCGGCTTTCTCGAGGCTGCACGCCATCGGTGCAGTCCCGCTGCAGCGGTGCTAATCACGATCTGCTCGGGATCGGTCGAATTGCCTCCTTCCAGCCGGAAATTTTAAACCAAAAACTGCCAAAAGCAAAATCAGAAAGAAGTCAAATGAAGAAATTAATCAATAAGAATGAAAAATAAAACTGGAGGAAATATTTGCAGGTTCGGAATTTGCACGAACTGGAGTCGTCGTACTCCGTTGAACACCGTTGAACACCGTTGAACACCGTTGAACGAAGACGAAAGATCCAGGAAACGATTTCAGAAGAAACTCCACCGAAATTTTGTGCTATCTCTCTTTTGTTATTTTGCTATAATCG